ATTATTATGCTCTTCCTCAATTTCAGAGGGACACGTCTCTTTCCAAAAGCCAGCCCCTTGTTGAAAGCTTTGCAATGCCTTTTCTGGGTGTACAAAATGGTCGGGGTTAAACAGAACAGGAAGGATCGTTTTTATGGCAAGTTGCACCCCAACTGAGGATTATGAGGGCACAGACTTAGAATCAAAAACATTTAGGGGAAACTTTGTCCATCCTGTTATATAAGAAGGAATGGTAAATACAAGGCAGTTTCAGCCCCCTCTTCCTATACCTGTTTTCTTCTGGATAGGAAATTGGACCACACTTAAGTTTAAAAAAAGAGACAGACACATATGAAAAGTACTCTGGCATTGAAATATTCTTTCTGCTACAAACTCGGTATGATCTCTGCAAAGCAACCTGAGAATTATCAATCATGCACCAACCCTACAGCAAAATGGGGGAATTACAGAGTTTCTAAAGTGATGGCCAATGCAAATACCTTGAATATAGGAAAGGCAGTACACACAAAAGCCTCCTCCAACCCAATTATGTTGCACAAAAGCTCCATCATCCACAGCCAGGAACACAAATGATGCAAGTGCTATTGCAGTCCCTGGCATCTTCAATTCAAAGACTGTCAGGTTGTAAGCAAGTCCCGATTTCTGGGATGCATACCCTAATATGGTGAGGGACTTGAGTGTGTCAGAGAAGCCACGACTCTGCTAGGAGTCCAGGCTGCCATCAGAAGATGAGACTCCATTAGGAACCTGGAGTCCTAGCAGAGTCACCCAAGGCAGAATGTTCACAGCTGATGCCCCAGACTAAGATACATCCACCCTCACCAGGACTAACGGCCACATCAGTAGAAGAGAATGGATAGTTCTAATGGTGATTGGGGTGCAGAGACTTCTGGATAGCACTGCTGGGCAGGAGAAGTAGCTGAAGATGGTGCTGTCAGAGGATCGACAATAGCAGTGGCACTCTCGCTCACTTTTGTTAGTACTGTATCAAAGGCAGCAGTAAAACGCTGCTGAAAGTTTATTACCATGAAAACCCTATGATGAGAAAGTCCAAAATGAAACAAGAGATAGTGCTGGAAGATGAGGCCCCCAGGTCAGAAAGTACTAAATTAAAGCCAAAAGGATGTCTACTGGCTGAGTGCATAGGGGTAAAAGAAAGCCTAATGTTGCAAAACACACATAATTGGAACATAGAATAGGAGAAGCATTAATCAAGGTAAACGTGAAATTGTAAAGCAAGAAATAGAACGTTTAAGCATTGCAGTGCTTGGTGCCAGTGAACTAAAGTGGATTGGAATAGGACTGTGGTGGAACCCCCACGTCACGCCTGTCCATCATGGGAAACTCAAGGGCAGGAGCCTATGAGAGGACAGGGGGGGTGGAACTAAAAGGGCAGTTAGATAGTCAGACAGTTAGAAAAGAGGGTTGGAGAAAAGAGGTTGCAGATAGGGAATTGAAGACAGAGTTAGGATACTATACTGAGAAAGTTAAGAGAGAATTCTAGAGAGAATAGGAAAGAGTTTAAACATATAGAGAACACATGTAGTCAGAGAATATTATAACAGTGAATAAAAACAAACCCAACATGAAAGCAAATGATATTTAATAAGCTCCTGTGATTTGCATGACTTTTATAAAATCAATAAATCTGTTGAATTGGCAGCACGTATCTAAGATCTATTTGGTATTAAGGGAATAATACCTGGTGGCAGCGTGAAGTGAGGTCACACATCCAGAACACGGACTTGTGTTTAAGGCAAAATAAACAAAGGACACGGGGTGGGCATCACAAAGACATTTTCAGTCAGACAGTTAGAAAAACTGAGGCTCAGAAGGGCAGAAATGAGAAAATTAGAAAAGGTCATCAAGTGTAAGGATACGTCACTGGAGACCAAGACCAAGATCATCCTCACTATTGTATTTCCAATCACCAGGTATAGGTGTGAAAACTGGACAGTTAAGAAAGTTGACAGGGAAAAAAACTGATTTGTTTGAAATATGGTACTAGAGGAGAGATTTGTGGATACCCTGGACTGCCAGAAACACAAACAAGTGAGACAAATAAATCAAGCCTGAACTATCTCTGGAAGCAAAAATTATTCACTGGAAAAGACAATAATTCTGGAAAAAACTGAAGGCAGCAGGAAAAGAGGAAGACTGAATATGAGACAGATTGGCTTCATAAAAGAAGCCATGTCCCTGAGTTCACAGCTGAGTAGGGCTGTTGAGAACCGGACATTGTGGAAGTTACTCATTCACAGTGCCCCCCTAAGTTGAAGGCAACTTGACAGCATGTAACAACAATAAAGCACATACACTGGCTAAATCCCCATAGAGCTTGTGCCAATCAGAGTAGACAATATTGGCTAAATGGATGATCGGTCTCACTTTGAGACTGATCATCCATTTGGCATATAAATATACAGTGGTGCCTTGACTTACAAAATTAATCCGTATTGGAAGGGTGACCGTAACTCGAAAGTTTTGTTAAGTCGAAACACCATTTCCCATAGGAATGCATTGAAAACCAATTAATCCATTACAGCCAAAGGAAAAAAATATATCAAAAAATAAAAATAAAAATAAACAGAGAAAGTTGTGACAGCCGCCGCAGGAGGCCTCCCCGGCTTCCCTGCCACCATGACAGCCGCTCTGGGAAGCCTTCCAAGGTTCCCCGCCGCAGAAGCCCATGCTTCCCTGCCGCCATGACAGCCGCCGTGGGATGCTTCCCTGGCAGCAGCGGTCAGAGTGGTGGCGAACCTCAGGAGGCCTCCCCTGGTGGCGGGGAAGCCCGGGCTTCCCTGGTAACAGCAGTTAGAGCGGTAGCGAACCCCAGGAGGCCCCCCACGGCAGCAGTCAGAACAGCAGGGAAGCCCAGGGTTTTCCTGCCTTTTTCCTTTCTAAAATGGAAGCTCCGGCCACAAGTCGAACCAAAATTTTGCGTCCGGAGCTTTCCGTAACTCGACATTTTCGTAACTAGGGATGTCTGTAAGTCGAGGCACCAGTGTAGATCGCTGCTGGCACAGTTTGAATTGCAGAGGAAAAGACTGCATCTGCATGTGTTTCTACTTAGATTGAGTCATCCTTCCCCTTTAACAGCTGTCACACATCTTTCTGCTACCAAGGTAGGGCATGCAATCTTTTTTACATATTTGGTGTTTAACCAGGCGATGGCCCCAACAGTCTCAGCTTCCAAGTGCCATTGTCACTACAGACTCAGGGGGAGAACAAGGGAAGAGAGGTAGGGAGGGAAGGAGGAAGAAAACAGAAAGGCATTGCTAGAGAAAGCAGTGATGTAAAAAATAATTTCACTTCCCCTGCTTCTCCACTAAGGATCAGGGAAAGCACTTAATTGACAACTGATTGGGCCACAAGGGGTCCTTTGCTGTTTTGACAGGTGGAGCACACCTAAGGACCATGGCTCCTCCCCCTTGATCTCAATAGACCCTTTGTAGCCCAATCCACCCCACACCCAAAACAGCCAATCTGAACAGGCCCCTAGTGTAAGGTAGGTTTGCAACTGTCCTCCTGTATATTTAAGTCTTTGCGATATGACAGACATACTGGATCAAAACAGCCACATGAACCCCCTCGCCATATCCACAACCCCCCTCGACTGCAATAAAGAGCTCCTTCCAAAGCTATGGGCAAACTTCAACTTTAAAATACGGATTTTCTTTTTTTACTCGTGCTCTGGGATTCCCCCAACCAACATTAGGTAAACACACAAAATTACATACACTTGGAATTAAAGAATTCTGAACCCCAAACTACCAGAATGGAACACAGCCTATGATCTTTCTAAAAACAAACTTAACTTCATTTCAGCAGTATAAATCTGGGTAGATGGGGGTGAATGTTATTGTTAAATAACTGATAACTAAAACATCCTGCCAATCAATTGTAAATCATCTGGAGATGAATTACTCAATAGATCCAGATCTAACTTCTGTCCAGGTCTGGGCAAGAAGCCACCTCAAATTTACTCCAGTTCCAAGCCCCTTACTATCTGTTCACGTCTTTTTTTTTTCCAAGGGGGGGACAGACTACGCCTATAGAGATCAAGTTATACAGTGTCTGGTTGTCAAATACACAGGTGCCATTGAACAACAGAAAACACCGACTTACTGGAATCACATAAAACAGAATTCTAATTTTAATGTGGTCAGTAAGAGAGGGAGATCACTCATGATAATTACTGTATATACAAGAATATGTACATATAGAATAATGACGACATACAAACTGTTGAGAAGAATATGCCACAGCTCTAGGAAACTCCTAAGGTGTTCCTTCAGCGGCAGCAAAAAGGGACTAGAGAACCGTTGGGGAAGCCGGCGTGGTGGACAGGGCGGGCCTGCTCACTTTCTTTCGGCTCTAGAAGGTTCGGAGAACGAAAGTGATGGCGCCAAAGGCGCCCCAAGATTATGTACACCGCTTTCGCGGGCTTATCCTAAGCTTCCATCCCACCGTTTTGCAAAACGACCGCTTATTTGGGACCCGGACCCGTTTCCACACCCAGGATCCCTACCCGCAATCTTCCGAGAGAAACCGCGAAGGAGCCGCTTCCCTCACGCAATGCCGGCCCAGGGAAACCGCTCTAAGGGCCACGCGCTCCTTTCTGGTAACTCCAGGCTTGGGCGGCGGGCCGTTAACGAGCCGTTAAGGTGTAGGGATCGGAACCCGCCCGCCCACGCCGTCTGCGGAGGGCTTCGCCTGGGGTAGTCGCTTCCCGTGTGGGGGTCATTAGGCGCGTTTAGGTACGTCGCGGGAGTGGCTCCTCTCGGGGAAGCGAACGTAGGGATCCAGCCTCTGCTATAGGATTCGTTTTAAGCGGCGTAGATAGAATCCTAATGACTACATTATTGACGTGCCAACTGAGAAAGTAGTATGTTTAGACCTCCAGCCTTAAGTTCTTTTTCGACAATATAATGAGACGTACCCTTGCGTCAGCGTTTTTTTAAAAAGATTTATCTTCCGCCGTGCAAGTAACTCCCACAGCAGACGGCCTCACAACCTTTCTGGTTCCTTATTTGCCTTACAGCTAGGCTGGGGGGAAGGAAAGGGAGAAAAATCGTGGGTTCTAATGGACGGGGAACTGCAAAACCGGGAGGGAACACCTGCCTCTCATTTTCCCTCCATTAAAGTATTCCCGTGCGCAAGAAAGTGAGGAGCACATATTTGCTCCAAATAACTCGTACCCCCCTAAACGTGCGGGGGCGAACAGTTCCCAGAATGCTGGGGCAGGTTAAGGTGGGTGTAATTTTTTTTCAACTTTCAGATTGTAAAGGGGGTGTCTCCTTTTGAATGTTCATTTACTACAAATCCCAGTTAAGTTATTCAAACAAAGTACTGTATGTGTTTCCTACTAAGCTCTATTCTAATAGGCATAATGGTGGAATAGCCCAAAAGTACTGCTTCCTCCTTATCTACCTCAGGCTTTTTAATATTTCCTCTTTTTAAACAGGAGTTTCTTGGCCCGTGAGAGAGGCAAAGGCTAATTCACGGTTTGGGAGTGCATTCCCTGGTGTTCTGCATATCCTATCCACCATCCTTTTTTTAAGATCTTCAGAAAGTGGAGGAGGAATTCGTCTTTTTCCCTTTTGGAATCCATTAAGAAGATAAAGGGATATTTACAGCTACATCAGCAAAAAAAAAAAAAAAAAAAAAAAAAAACCAAGTGCCTCTGACAGCTAAATTAAAATGCCCCTTGCTAGGAAGTAACATTCACAGTACTAGCTGGGACCTGCTTTAAAAAGATATCTGGAATTCACTGTCAAGTCCTCTCATGTGAACTCAGCAAGATTAATCTAATAAATTTATTTTTCTCAGACTACATTAATAGGTATAGCACTGGAGTCAGGTAGTTAATGTGTCAGAATCTTTGATGTAAAGCTTTTAATTTGGTTTAATTCTGTGCCTCTAAAGGGAGTAGAGAGACAGTATGGTGTAGTAGTTCAATAATGGACTAGTACTGTCCTTGGGAGTATTGGGTTCAAATCCCCACTTGGCCATGGAAGCTCACTGAGAGGTGGCAATGATAAAACCACTCCTTAAATAATGCATATATTCTTTGAAGCCCCTATTAGGGTAGGGACAACTTGAGTGCAACTTTATGTGACATAACATACTGGAAGTAATGGTCTTGAACATGCAAGTGAACTATCTGAGTATTAAGCAAAGGTGATTTCTGTGATTATATCATCCTCTGCTGTATTGGTGTTAGAATAAGAAAGCCTTTGTTATTCAGGTTATTTTAATCTTGTGAAAGCAATTTAAGATAAGTGTTTAAATTTTACAGGTACAATATTATTTCTACTTGTCCTCCTGTCAAACCTATCAGTGGTAATTTGACACTGTTCACAATGTTTTATTAGTGAGAAATGTCAAAGGTCTAAAACCTGAAATACAGAAAATAATCACATGCTATTCATGGCAACAGATTTACATAGGTAAGAAATTAAGATAGATAAAAAAGAGGGCTCTAATTCTGGTATTTAATCTCTGTAATTCACAATTCAATCTCCTGGCTTCAGCACTGGAGTTTTCCATTAATGTATAACTTGCAGAGGTGAAAAGGATTGTTTAAGACTATTGGCTGGATATTATTCTTTCCACTGCCTGAAAAAACCTTCAAATATTCACTGGTAAGAATGTTCTGAATCAGGTTTGCATTGTTCTCAGCTTAAACAAAGTGATGGTGGAATGGAAAATGAAAGTGATGTTACCTGCTGTCAAGTTACCTCCAGCTTTTGGCAACTCTATTAATGAGTTTCCACAATGTCTTGTCTTCAAATCTCAGCTTGAACAAAGTGATGGTGGAATGGACAATGAAAGTGATGTCAATAATGCATCTTTAAAGAGAGTTGGAGAACAAACTTAACCAATGAAGACTGCTTAAGCTATAGTGAATCCAAACTCCTTCCAGCCTCTGGATGTTGAAAACTGCTGAGGACTAACCTCTTTGTGCCAGTAGTATGTCTCTCTCTGGGCTGGAGGTTTACATCTAGCATAATTTAGATCCACCATCACTCTGTTCCTTCGCTGACACGATTTTGGCTGTACTTCTCTAGCGGCAAATATCAGCTATCCAGAGTAATTCTAGTGTATTATTCTGCTGACAAAGGTTGGAGAAAGGTGATTATGCTATCTGAAGCATTCTTGACAGCAAAAGAGGCTTTTGCTTATTCCTAATGCCTTACACTGGTGAACTGTACAGTACTGTTAAATCTTTTAAAGATAGATAACTGGGACAATCAGTTATTGAAGTTTTAATTTTAATTGATAGAGTCATGGATCTAGATTGTTTTTGTAGATAGTTTTTGTTTTTGCTTTTGTAGAGTACAGTAGATATAACCATATTGATTTTTAGTCTGTTTTTAACTGAACTGTTTTAATTAATGTTGGAAGCCCCCCAGAGACTCTTGCAGAAGGCAGGTAGCATACAATAAATAAAATAAATCACAACTAAGTGCAGTTTGTTGCATTCCTTAGTGTTAGTGTGTCAATGATTTTCAGTGCATTTTCAGTCTAAATTTTAAAATGCAAATAGAGTATGTGCATCTGTCAAATCTTAAAATATAAGTATTCTTTTAAAAAGGGAAGCTAAATCCAGCTGCTATCTCCAGCTAGAGTAGCACCACTGGAAAATGGGACTTGCATAAATGCTGTCTTAAGTCCCATTCAATGGGTCTACCCTACCAGTTAATCTAACTGATAATTTTCACACAAAGCTTTCAGTGTGTTTCAATATAAAATTAAAGCAACATTAAGTGTGCTTTACTTTTTTCTTAATAAAGTGTTTCAGTTCAAATACTCACAAGCTCTTCGAGCATCAGAAGTTTTGCATAGTAAATAGGGGCACAAACCTTGGTTTGGATGTCCAGCCCGATTTGTTGCCACGCTCACACACAGGTGTTGTGCAGGTAGGGCACAAACACACCGTCTCCTTTGCATGCTCACCCATTCTTCGGGCAACACACATTTCACTCCCCACCGTGACTGTTCATTCACTTTATGCAGTGTGCTCTTCCCTGTTCTGTCAGCTACCCACTGAGATGAGGAGGTGGGGCAGGGATTCCTGCAGTGCTGTCTTTGAGTGGGTGGTTGACAGACAAGGTGGAAGAGGAAAGAGTACGCTACAAAAGGTGAATGGATAGTTGTGTTGAGGAGGCAGGGAACCATGTGTCACCCGAGGAATAGGCAAGTGTGCAGGGGAGGGTGTTTAGTTATAATATGGGAGATATTTCCAATAACAGAATCTTTCAGAAGACTGACATCACATATTAATACAACTTTATATAATTGATGTTACCTGCTGTCAAGTTACCTCCAACTTTTGGCAACTCTGTTAATGAGTTTCCACAATGTCTTGTCTTCAACAGCCTGGTAAACTCAAAAGGCTGTGGCTTCGTTGATGGAGCCAATCTTCTTTTATTGCAAGTTTCAGCTATTCCCAGTATTGTCTTTTTCAGCGAATCTTGCCGTCTCATGGTGTACCCAAAGAATTACAACCCCAGCTGCCTCCAGAGATAGTTCAGGCTTGATTTGATGTAGGGGACCCACTTGTTCAACTTTCTAGCAGTCCAAGGTAATCACAAAGCTCTTCTCCAGCACATTTCAAATGAGTCTCTTTTTTCTGTCATTTTCTTAACTGTCCAGTTTTTACATCCATACATGTTGATCAGAAATACAATAGTGGATTATCTTGGTCTTGGTCTCCAGTGACACATCATTACATTTGATAACCGTTTCTAATTTCCTCATTGCTGCTTTTCTGAGTCTCAGTCTTTCTTGGCTGCAATCTGTGTTTGGATTGATGACTGAACCATAATAAACAACATTTTTAACAATTTCAGTTTCTTCATTGTCAGCATTAAAGTTGTGTAATTCTTCAGTCATGTTTGTCTTCCTGTTAAAACTGCAGTCCCGCTTTGCCACTTCGTTCACTTTTGCTACTTTCTGCTAGTAAAATGGCATCATCTGCATATCTTAAATTACTAATGTTTCTTCCACCAGTTTTCATTCTCCATCTGAATCTAGTCCAGGTTTCCATATGACATATTATGTGTACTGTATAGACTAATTAACAGATAAGGAGATAAAATGCATTCTTGTCTAACCCCTTTGCCTATAGGAAACCATTTTGTCTCCATATTCTCTCCTAACAGTAGTTTCTTGTCTATAGTATAGGTTATGCATCAAGACAATAAAGGACTAAAACACACCAATTTCTTTTAGAACCATAGTTTCCCATGATCCGCACAAAGGCTTTGCTGTAGTCCATAAAACATAGACTGATCTTCTGAAATTCTTTGGTGAATCATAGTAGCCAGTGGATATTCACAGTATAATCTCTATTCTTCCTTTTCAAGAGTCCAACTTCAATATCAGGCATTTCACACTCCATATAAGGTGAAAGCCTTTGTTGCATGGGAAATGAGAGTAATGGTCCTATAGTTACTGCACTTCTTTGCATCTCCGTTCTTGGGTTTTGGAATGTACAGTATTTTTCCATGTATAAAATGACACTTTTTCCTAAAATAATTAGAGTAAAATTTGAGGGTTGTTTTATACACAGAAGGCAGCAGAAGGAGGCGGAGACTGAGGCAAAGAAACAATTGGGCTCGGCCACCTCTTGCTGCTGCCCATTGACTGCTTCTGCTGCCACCACCACCGGATCGCCCCCTCCAGCAATCGTCTACTTGTGTTGCGGCGGCAGCAGCGAGAGGCAGCCAAGCCCGGCTGGTTCTTTGCCTCAGTCTCCACCTTCTGCTGCTGCCGCCTCTCCCTCTGGTTACGAGCTCAGTGATTGTTCAGGCCTTTGACTGCTGCGTTTCCCTTTTGCTAAGTCCCAGCTTTAGGAAATTTTCTAATTTGGGGTTAGAAAAGGGGGGCGTCTTACACATCGGGTTGTTTTATAAATGGAAAAATATGGTACATTGAATATTGCCAGAGTGTCATTGTTTTGTTTTCCATATTTGCGGGCATATTCTTGTTAGGGTTTTGACAGACTCTGTCTCTGCATTTTGAAATAATTCTAGCAGAATTCAATCTGCTCCTGATGATTTATTTCTTCCCAATGCTTTCTAAGCAGCTTTCACTTCATGTTCTAGAACTGCAGGTTCATCACCAAGGATCCCTCTAAGGTACATGCAACTCCGCCTCCTTCCATGCAGCTTTCCTTCTCCCCTGCGCAGCACCTTTGGTTCCTCTCCCTACTGGAGTTGTGGGTATTCATATATGAATATGAATACACCCACACAGGTGGAGATAACAAGGGTCCGGCCCCATGGTGCTAGATGGTCCACTCACCAATCCGCTGCTGCCGTGGGCTTCGTGCTCCCGTTCTATCACTCCAGAGCTTGCGATTGGCAAGCCACTCTTCGACCTGGCAGAGAGGCTTGTTGTCCCGCCTCCTGCCAGGAGTGGCTAATCCATCGCTAGCTCTGGAGTGATAGGAAGGGTGTGAATGGGTTCAGTTTCAAATTTGACAACTCGTTTTGCGTGAGAAATACCACAGGAGACGTCTTCTTAACCTTAACAACTTCATCTTTATTAATAACAGGGAGATCAACATTGTTCATAATGGGGTCAAAGAAACTCAACTCTGGCAACAAGCCGTAACTGTCCATCACATAATCAGGTCTTCCATCAGCTGAACTTAGAGAGGTGCTGGGCCAAATCTCTCGGCATGTCGGCTTCTGCAGAGGCGCACTCCATACTGTGCAAATGGTGCCGCAGCATGAATGCCTTGCCCAGTCGCTTTCCAGCGGGGGGTGTTATACCGCGCGCCTGCTCTTATTACCTGTCGTCCGCGTCCTTTATTCTTGGGGAAGACCACTACAGACCATTTGAGAGTTTCATATTTCATCTCCCCACTCTCCTTGAGCACAAGGTCTGGAAGCAGCCCTCCTAATTTTAGGTTAGGGAAGTCCCTCAATAGCTCCTGGGTCTTCACCCTCTCGTACTCCCTCAGCCTCTCCAGCTTCCTCTTCCTTTTCCACAGCTCTAATTCTACCTCGAATCGGTGTTCCCCTTGGCTACTTGTACTTTGCTCCCAAACGGACAACTCTTGCTCCACCCCTTTCGTACCCTTGCACTCCTCCACCAAGCTTATTTCAAACTTCCCGTCTTTTTCTTTTTTTTGCCTCCGTAGCCACGTTCTCTTATCTGGTCCTTTTGTTCCAGCTCGCTCTGTTTTCCCCCCTCCCTCCTTTCCTTTATCTTCTGGGGACAGCACTCTATGACTCCTTCACAAAGGGATTGCATATGTGAATACCCCCATCTCTACACCCAACAGAACCCCACACGCATGGGGACAGTTGTATGTGCGCACAGGGGAGAAGTCACAAGAGAGGTGGAGCCTCACTCAGTGGGGCTGGAAATTAGAGGGTTGATTGATCATTATAGAATTCTTCAAAGAACTCTAATATCTTTTCTGTATGTCTTCAGTATATTGTTTCTATCTTTTTATTTTCTCCTGCTCAAATACAGTGGTGCCTTGACTTATGAAATTAATCCGTATTGGAGCAGTGGCCGTAACTCCAAATTTTCAGAAGCTGAAGCACCATTTCCCATTGAAATGCATGGGAACAGGATTAACCCGTTCCAGCATTTCAAAAAAATTAAAGCACACAGAAAGTCCCATCAGAAGGTGTATTTTTTAAAAAAAAAAACACACAAATAAACAGAGCAAGCCCCGAAGGCTGCAAAAAAACAACCCAAAAACAAACAACATAGCACAGAAACATAACCCCCCACAGCTGAAACCCACCCAGAAGTTTCTAAAAAGCAAAAAGCAGCACCTTATCAGGCAGATTGAAGCTTCCTCCAATGGCACTCACTCCCCAGTGGATGGTGGCCAGTAGCCACAGTGGTGGGCCCTTACTCATGAATAGACCCATGCTGTTGGTGGGCTTTATTCATGAGTAGACCCTGGGCAAGAAGTGCACCGGCTTCCCGCGCCCAGCAGTGAACTGGAGCTGCCCTGCTTCTCCTTCCTCCTCCTCTGCCGCCACTACACGCCCCGTCCAAGGAGGAGCCACTCCGACCTGTGCAGCCCAGCCCAGGGCCTTTGGGAGTCCTTACTTATGAGTAGACCTGCACCAGGGATGGGCAGTTTATGAGTAGACCCGCACCAGGCATGGGCAGGGAGCACACTGGCTTCCTGCGCCTAGCCGTGATCCGGAGATGCCCCCACATCTCTTTCCTCCTCCTGCCTCACAGGAGTAAAAAAGTTCCCTGACCCCCTAGCCGTGATCCAGAGATGCCCCCACATCTCTTTCCTCCTGCTGCCTCACAGGAGTAAAATAGTTCCCTGACCCCCTGCTCTAACCGTTGGGGTGAAACAGCTACAAAGAAGGAGCCCCTTCGCCACTAACGGTTTCAGTTTCCCGCTTTTTCCTGTTCTTACTTCGAAGCTCTGCTCGCAAGTTGAAGCAAAATTTTGCAAGCAGAGCTGTTCGTAAGTCAAAATGTTTGTAGGTAGGGGCGTTCATAAGTCAAGGCACCACTGTAGTATGCTTCCCTGTTGATCTTTCAGCATTCCTAATCTAGACTTAAATTTCCCATTGAATTTCTTCCATCTTCTGGAAGTAATCTTGTTTTTCCTCTTTTGTTCTATTTTTTTTTGCTGTGATCATTGTTATAGTTTTTTTTTGTCTCTACATGAGTTGCCAAAAAGCTGTATTCAGGATTCTGACCCTAGTTCTGTCACTTTTTACTTTTGCTTCTTACCTGTCCTTAACAAGTCTATGGTGTCCCCCCCCCAATCATGCATCTAGGTTTGTTATTTCTATTACTACAATAATTGCATTATTCCATAATATCTTTGGTTTCTGTGATTGGGTTTGGTTGAAAGGGGGTGCAGTTCCTCTTTTTGGGAGGGAAATAACCTGGAAGAGTCATTTGAAACATTAACAGATTTATTATATTTAACTCCAGGTGATTCAACAACTACTTCTATTGGTTCATAACAACTCAGTTCGGGTAATTGTCCAAAAGAATTTGGTAACATTTCACTAATGGAATAGTCCGGTTTCATCACGGAGCCGGCCCAAATCGTTCCTTGTCTGTCATCTTTCTCAATGGGGCGCTTCACACCGTGCAGACAGTGCCACAACATGGGTGGCGTGCCCAGTCTCCCTCGAGAGGTGGTTGTTGGAAAGATGCCTCCAGCCAGATCGCCTTCCTCCAATGAGCCTGTCCCCTCAGGAAAACCACCACGGTCCATTCTAAAGGTTTTTTTGCCCACGGCTCCTTCTTTTATTGGAGCAGGATCTGGCAACAAGCCTCCAACCTTCAGGTTGGGGAAATCTTCCAACAAATTCCACGCCTTTTTGTAATCAACCTCTTTCGCTCCTTTCATGTCTTCCTCCAGGACTCTGAATACCCTCACTTCCTCCTTCTCCTTTTTATCCTCTTCCCATATGGGCAAAGTTAACTCCTCCCCTTCCTTTGCTTTTCCTCCTTCTACTAAACAAACTTCTACTTTCATCTCTCTCTCCCTTTCCCCCATTCAATCACTCTTTCTGTTTCCTCTCGTTTTGCTTCTTTTAACAGTTCCTTTTCTTGAGGAGCCAGCACACTCATTATTTTCCTCTCCAGTTTCAGTCCATAGTCCTTCTGGTTCAGTTAATTGGGTTTAGTAATACAAATCTGCCTTTATCTGAATTTTAAATTAATCAGCAGCATTGTTTAAATTATATCTTGGCACTAGGGTTCTTCTAGTGTTCTTCACTTTTACTCTAATGTTGCATATTAATTGATCATGATCAGTACTGTAGTCTGCTTCTGGACTTATTACGGCAGAGAGAATACAGTTTTTCCATCTCATGCTACAATTCTGTAGTCTGTTTGATTTCTAAATTGGCGACATAATGATGTTCATGTGTGCCATTGTTTTTGTAGGTGCTTGAAGAATGTATTTGTGATAAACTATGTCAGTCTCCTGCCTCATTTCTCACCTGCCCTCCAACCTAATTTTTCAACAACATTTGGTTCTGCTTTGTTTCCTACTTTTGTGTTCCAGTCTTCTTTTAGTGTATGATCAGTTTCCTCCTGAACGCAGAAAAGTGTTCCATTTCATCTTCAGCATCTGTGGTGGATGCATAGATCTGAATAGTGGTTGTGTTGATAGGTTTTCTCAGAAGCCTAATGAATATTTTCTGGTCAGATTTTGTATTATAGACCCTAACTGCCTGTACTACATCTTGCCTCACTATCAGAACCATTCCATTTCTTCTGAATTTGTCATTTCCAGATCAAAATACTTTGTAATTTTCTGGCTGAAAATACCTAATACAGCATAATTAATAGAAACAAAACAGTAGTAACAATACAGGATTGTCATTGGGAAGTCCTGATAAATGACAATTAAGCATACTCCTTTGTTTTATTGATTATTAATTCTTTAATGAGGCCGGGCCTTTTCCTTTCTGTTTTGCAGCCTTCTCTTGTTTTAGCTATAATGAAAAAGATAACACAAATTTATTAAAATCACATATTTTGATTTGAGCAAGCTATCTATAAAACATATTTGCCAAGCCAAACTATATTAATTTCCAGTCAGACTTCACTTTACCTTTCCTTGCTTTAACTGATCCAAATAAATCCAGTTTTCCCTCTTACTAGCATTCAGCATCTCATTCTAAGGTACCCTGAACCACTGTATAGCTTTTTGTATATAGCTAAGGATTATGGAGAAAGCCAGAGAGTTCCAGAAAAACTTCTACTTCTGCTTCATTGACTATGCAAAAGCCTTTGACTGTGTGGACCACAGCAAACTATGGCAAGTCCTTAAAGAAATATGAGTGCCTGACCACCTTATCTATCTCCGGAGAAACCTATAGAGTATGTGGGACAGGAAGCAACAGTTAGAACTGGATATGGAACTACTGATTGGTTCAAAAATGGGAAAGGAGTATGACAAGGATGTATATTGTCCCCCTGCTTATTTAACTTATATGCAGAATACATCATGCGAAAGCCCGGACTGGAGGAATCCCAAGCCAGAATTAAGATTGCCAGAAGAAATATCAACAACCTCAGATATGCAGATGATACCACTATGATGGCAGAAAGTGAGGAGGAATTAAAGAAACTCTTAATGAGGGGGAAAGAGAAGAGCGCAAAAATGGTCTGAATCTCAACATCAAAAAAAACCCTAAGATCATGGCCACTAGTCCCATCACCTCCTGGCAAATAGAAGGGAAAGATATGGAGGCAGTGACAGATTTTACTTTCTTGGGCTCCATGATCACTGCAGATGGTGACAGCAGCCACAGAATTAAAAGACGCCTGCTTCTTGGGAGGAAAGCAATGACAAACCTAGACAGCATCTTAAAAAGCAGAGACATCACCTTGCCGACAAAGGTCCACATAGTCAAAGCTATGGTTTTTCCAGTAGTGATGTATGGAAGTGAGAACTGAACCATAAAGAAGGCTGACTACTGAAGAATTGGATGCAGAGTTGTAATGCTGGAAAAGAGCCCTGGAAAAGACCCTGATGTTGGCAAAGTGTGAGGGCAAGAGGAGAAGGGGACAACAGAGGAGAAGACAGGAGGGCCTGGCGTGCTTTGGTCCATGGGGTCAACTCATGGAAACTCAATTGAGGGTAGCACTGGTAAAATGACTCCTTACCATACTGGTCCGCATAGTCAAAGCTATGGTTTTTCCTGTAGTGATGTATGGAAGTGAGAGCTGAACCATAAAGAAAGTTGATCGCCAAAAAATTGATGCTTTTGAATTGTGGTGCTGGAGCAGGATCTTGAAAGTCCCCTGAATTGCAAGGAGAACAAACCTATCCATTCTGAAAGAAATCAACCCTGAGTGCTCACTGAAAGGACAGATCCTGAAGCTGACGCTCCAATACTTTGGCCATCTCATGAGAAGAAAAGACTCCCTGGAAAAGACCCTGATGTTGGGAAAGTGTGAGGGCAAGAGGAGAAGGAGACGACAGAGGCCAATATGGATGGGCAGTGTCATCGAAGCTACCAACGTGAATTTCACCCAACTCCGGGAGGCAGTGGAAGACAGGAGGGACTGGCGTGCTCTGGTCCATGGGGTCACGAAGAGCCGGACACAACTGTTGACTAAACAACAATAAAGATAACTACTGTGAGGATATGGGTTTTGTAGCACTTATTTCCCAGGACTTACAGGTGCCTAGAGACTTTGTTCCTGTGAAGATGAGCCAAGGTCATTTCTCATGACTGATAACCAAAACATTCCTTACTAATGGCATACCAGCATACCAGACTGGGATGAGAGAAGGAACTGTGGAAACTTATAAGTTGGGCCCTTGCTTTGTTGATGTCTTTTATCAATCAAAATCCTGTTGTACCGGAGTTTCGGATGTGTACAGCTCATAAGCAATGTGACAAAAGTGCACAGACCCCAAAATTACAAAAGGAAGCTGCCAGTGACGCCATTCCCATTGTGAAGATAAACACCAACCATATGGATTTAGGCCTTCTTATTCTGTGATAGGTTGAATGCTTTATTTTGTGAACTGCTACATTTGATTATGAGATTATCAATCACTGCTATTAGAAATGGAAAATATTAATTTTTTTCTTAACTATAACTATTTAGTTTTAAAGTAGATATATAATGCCTTACCCGTGCTTGATACTGCCTTTCAAAGTAAGCCATATCATCTTCCTCAGGTCTCCTTAAACGTGAAACTTGCATTGCTGTACTTGCACCTCCTCAAAAGCAACAAGATTTTTTAAAATTTTATTGGATTCAAAACTTTTTAGATCTGAAGAAATTAAACTTTCATTTCAAATGTTTGCCATACCTTATTTCTAAAAATAATTTCAGATCACTCGCCTCTCTAGTAATCTCGCTAGCCAGCAAAGAGAAAACTGGAAACTTAAGTTTCATCTTAAACTAGTTTACTTTGACAATAATGGGAGCATGTGTAAATAAAGCTCAGCCCTGTTCTTCATTTGCCCCTTAACTGTGTCCAGTCATTATTACTGCTTCAGATCAAAGCTTACAAGCAAGTAATCACGCCAAATCAGGTCTAGAGAAGGGGCAGTAACAGTGAAATGTAGAACACACATCCTATGTTATCCAGAGGATACACTGGATTTTCTAACAAGTCCTGTACTTCCTCCCTCCCCTAGCCTCTGGGTTCCAGGAAGCTGTAAAGGAAGGTTCTCCAAGTAGAGAAAATATATCCAAAGGACATTCCCCCCCTCCTTAATCCTGGAGCTTCCTACCTCTTCTTAATTACAGTATGATTAGAATGATTATGTCCCATAAATACGTCACCTGTTCGTTTATGATTTAGTGGCTTTTATTCAGTGGAGTTTCTACAACTGAGCTTGTTAGCAATCACAGGATTGTTACAAAAGTGAATACATTTTAAATGTGTGTTCTCCTAAAAATTTCTTTTTGTTGCAAATTTTACATCACTAAGACACTGACCTAGCTTTTCAATCAGTAATAGTACTCTATTTTAAATGAGTATTCAAAATTTAAATATATATTTTTGAATTATCTAGTGTATTTAATCAGGCAGTGCCATGACTTAAAAATTTTTAAAAATATTATTACCATCTGTTAATTGGGACTGTGCTCCTATGGAACTGGAAGGCCCTTCAAATGCTCTTAAAAAGAGATGATCTGTGCTGGTTACAGGAGCATTTAGTAATTCAGCTGATGGTGCTCCTTAAAATGAAACACACAGAAAATGATAAGCTCAGCATAAATGAAGAGCTGCTGATTAAAATACCACTTGCATAATATATCAATAAAACAATCAGCACAAGAACAGCGTATGCCGCACTGGAGGAGAAACAGGTGATAGTCCCTAGTATTTGAGGACAACATTGTTAGATACTGTAGTAGTATTTTCGGGACAGATGCGGAAACAAGGCTGCCATCTGGGTTTGGTTCATGGTCAAAAACAGTATACAGTGGTGCCCCGCTTTACGATTACCCCACATTACAACGAATCTGCTTTACGATGTTTTTGTGATCGCAAGCGATGGTCTAAATAGGGTTTTTTTCGCTTTGCAATTATCGGTTCCCTGCTTCAGGAACCGATTCTTCACAAAATGATGTTTTTTAACAGCTGATCGGTGGATTCAAAATGGCTGCCAGGTAATTAAAATGGCTCCCCACTGTGTTTAAGGACGGATTCCTCGCTATACAGACACCGAAAATGGCTGCCGTATGGAAGATCTTCACTGGACGGTGAGTTTTTAGCTCATTGGAACACATCGAATGGTTTTCAATGTGTTTCAATGGACCTTTTATTTTCACTTTTCAATGTTTTCACTTAACAGCAATTTTCCTGGAACGGATTATCGCCATTAAGCGAGGCACCACCGTACAGTAAAACATTTCAGTTTGCCAGGGTGCCATCTAGTGTAGGAGAAAAAAACATGTCAAAAGGACAGTACAATGAGGAACTGCTAACCTAATGTTCACCACAGGTTGTTTTGCCTCGCAGATTGAACTGGGATCAAGTTTTTAAAATCACAACATATGTGTTAAATAGCTTGGCCAAAGCCAAGATTTTTGTGAAAACAATAGAGTTGTATGGCATCATAAAAACTATATTCTATTTGACCTAATCTTTGATGGACTATATACCACATTTCCTTTGATGCAACATCAGGCTGCATCTGGTACAGTGATCAATGTTCAACAAAAGGTCATCCCACCAAAAAAATTAGTCTTTAAAGATGCTGCATGATTCTTTGTTAAAATATGAAATGGCATCTATGATTTAAAGAACCATTAAAAGCTAACAGATGCAAAACCAAATAATGTATACACAGTAAACTAGATTTGCTATTTCCCCTCGAGATAGAATGAAATATGAGCACTAGATGGAGGAAAATATTTTTCTACTGTGTCAGGGTTTGAGCAGAATGCTTACGTGCTTACCAGATTATTTATTTGAATATATTTGTTATTTTGTGGCTCAGTTTACATATAAATGCTATAGATCTATAGTTAACAGAAATAATAGAAAGTGAATAAGAAATTGATCAACTGAATTCAAAACAGCATTCCATCAACTTAGCTTCCAAATACCACTTACAATAGGCAGGTTTTGGGAGAGGTAATTTTAATACTAAGTCAGGAGCAATTTTCTGCATAACGCCTAATAATTTTAAAGAGCTAACTAAAACCATAAAAGGAAAAGTGACTATCGATCTCCATAAGAATGTCAGTCCAGAACTGTAAGGCATTTGTAGTAAAGGCCCTGCTCCAGACTGTTAACATTACTGACCAGTATCCTATTGCTAATTCCCACTACAGTTGACCCACTGGTTCAACAGAATTTATGTATATGTTGATTTACTATTCAACAGTTAATTCTGTAGGTTTAATCTCGTTGAGACTTGCACTGAGATATTGGCAGGCTTTTCAAAAGGGAGAGTGGGAAACATTAGCAACCAGCTGCCACAAAATGACAGAGAGAGGTCTTGTAGGCCATAGATCATGGGGTATTTTTTTTAGTGGTCTGTGAAAGTGTCACCTACTACTGCATTTGGAAATCCAGAGATTCCCATGTTTATCAGATATAAGAATATAGCATTTTGACCCTATAGTTTCACATCATCTTCAAGGGCAACACCACATAAAAAGTATAGAATACTGAATCCTCAAATGTGTATAAACATGGCAAAATCTCTGCTAGTAAAAGAAAAGGTTGCACTTATAGGTGCACCTGATAATCTGTACTGTGGTGCCTTGACTTACGAACGTCCCTGCTTATGACCATTTCGAGTTATGACCAGCTCCGGCTGCAAAATTTTGCTTCTACTTGCAATCGGAGCTTCCACTTACGAACAGAAAAAGGTAGAGAAAAAAGGTGGGAAATTCAAATTTCTAACTGTAGGTGGTGACAAGGCTGTTTCTTTGTAGCTCTTTCACCCCAGCAGTTAGAGAGTGTGTGTCGGAGGAGGAGGCTTGGGACTGCCTCCTTCTGCTTCTGAGTGAGCGTGTGCGTGTGTGTGTTTGCAGGGAGGCTTTGGGCTGCCTGGTAAGGTAAGGTGCTGTTTTCTGCTTTTTAAAAACTCTTCTGTGTGTTTCTGTGCTGTGATGGATCTTGGGGGGTTTGTTTGTGTTTTGGTCCCCCCCATTTCTGATGGGTCTTGGGGGGTTTGGTTGCTTTTGGGGGGGTTCCCCATTTCCGATGGGTCCTGCGTGCTTCCTTGCTTTTTCGTTTTCTTTGCATTTCCGACCTGCACCCTTTGTTCTCTGTGCATTTTCGATCTGCTCCATTTGTTTTCTGTGCCTTTCCAATGGGTCTTGCACACTTGATTGCTTTTCTCTCCCCCCCCTTCGGCCAGAAGGGATTAATCGCGTTCCCAGTGAGTCTTACAGTGATTTTTTTGGTGATTTTTTTTCTTTGGCTGGAACAGATCAATTGCATTTCAATGCATTCCTATGGGAAATGGTGCTTCGACTTACGACCATTTGAGTTACGTCCATCTTCTGGAATGGATTATGGTCATCAATCGAGGCACCACTGTATTAGAAAGACACCCTTTGCCAGAATTTAAGAGCAGTTTCTCTAGGAACACAGCAGGGTCATAAGAAATCCAAGGATCTGAATATGTTCTTATAGAACTTAACATTACTGCATCCAAGAGGAACAACAGCTTTCACAAGAGCATTAGAACTATGCCCTACAATTTTGCTGCAGTCAATGTGAATTTAACTCAGTCTGGCTTTCTGCACCAAGTTTAACTTAAGTTATATCCAGCTTCCAGATTATGGGTTCAGGGCCATAAATACAACACCTAGATGCTCTGATAAAGTAATACAGTGGTGCCTCGCTTGACGAGGATAATTCGTTCCATTCAAATCGCTGTTAAGCGAAATCCTCGTCAAGCAAAATGAGAAAGCCCATTGAAATGCATTGAAAACCAGTACAATGCGTTCCAATGGGTGAAATACCTCAGCGTCCAGCAAAGATCCTCCATAGGGCAGCCATTTTCCGATGCCTGTAATGCGAGGAATCCATCCTAAAGCACAGCGGGGAGCCATTTTGCACAGCTGGTGGCCATTTTGAACCCCAACGATCAGCTGTTTTTGATCATCGTTAAGCGGAAAATCGGTTCCTGAAGCAGGGAACCGATCAACGTTAAGTGAAAAAAGCCCATTCAGTCATCATTCTGTGATCGCAAAAAAACTAATCATCAAGCGATTTCCTCATCTAACGAGGTAATCGTCAAGCGAGGCACCACTGTACAGAGATTTGAGTCATCAACTTACTAACTGCACCAAACTCCAAAGCTCCAGGTAGTCTCTCCCAATGACTTCATAGTGCAAAAAAGATTAAGTTTTGAAGAGCACCTATCATGCTGAAGTATCTCCCGAGTCAAACATTACTAGATCAGATACACTATTTAAAAAATCAGATTATTGTAAAGTGATGTTTCTAGAAACAGCATCTGCAATTAAAACTGACTAAATTATCCAAATTATGTTAGATCTACTGATACTGCCAAAATATCAAGAGGTAAATTTGAAATAATCTTTCATGTTCTTCGTTCTTACCTATTCCACTATCATCAAGTCTCATGTAGCCTTCTGCTAGTGAACTAAAGCCAGTTAGTCCTCCCATTGCAGCATAAGGGACATCTTGCCCCACTGGTTTTCCTTGTGCTAAGCGCTCTTCTTTTGTTTCCACTACTGTTTCATGAGCATATGTTGGCTGGCCACATCCGCAGGTAAAGCAACTGTGAAACCCTGAACATTTAGAACCTATTGCAAAACATATTTTGAAAGAGTCAGATGTTCTAACACCTTCCAAACAGTTGCACTTTTACTTGAAAAATGTACTCCTTGTTTCACAAACAATTGCTACAGCTGGAGAAAGTTTTAATACCATGTGTGTACATTACTCAAGGCCGTGATCAACATTGTAGAAAAACACAAGAACCAAGACTGTAACTGTATTTCTAAACTATAGCTTGGCATCTGATAAATATTGTGGGACCATAAACATTCATTGTACTAGTGAATAAAACATGTTTTGATAATTTGCAGATTGTTTCTATATGCACAAAATGCTGCCAGATGACAGAAGCAGTATATTTTACATACACTTGAAAAAAATTATCATCAAACTCTCAAGAATTGGCTGCAAATGCTGCCAGATGGCAGAAACAGTATATTTTACATACACTTGAAAAAATTATCATCAAACTCTCAAGAATTTGAAACAATGCAGATTTAAAATCCATGCATCATGCAGATTACCTAAATCTGAAATGTTTATATTTAATGTTGAATGAATTTTCTAATTGCAGAAATGAAAGCATTTTGTCACTCACTAGATCTACAAATATGCTTACCACCACATAATGCTTCAAGAAATGTATGTATATACTGAAACATTGCTGCACATAAATATGTCATATTTATTTAGCTAAATCATACTTACATGTTTCACATGGAAATCCAGGTGCTGGACTATGCTGGTCAGCAAAATGCTTACAACGACAACGGATGGGCTGAGTACCATTGAGAGGGACAAAGTTAAAAGATCTGCAGAGGCATCGGCTCACCTTACAAGGGACAGAAATAGGACGTTCCTTTGGAATCACTTCAAAATCTGTTTTGTGTTGCTTATACCTGGAAAAAGGTATTTTAAAAATATTATTTGCCACGAATCTTTTAAAATCCGTTAATAATGCTTCAGATATTTACAGCAATATTAAAATATTTTATGAAGGAGACTAGGGTCTTCATGAGAAGAGAAGACTCCCTGGAAAAGGCCCTGATGTTGGGAAAGTGTGAGGGCCAGAGGAGGAGGGGATGACAGAGGATGAGATGGTTGGCCAGTGTCATCGGAGCAACCAACATGAATTTGACCAAACTCCGGGAGGCAGTGGAAGACAGGAGGGACTGGCATGCTCTGTCCATGGGGTCACAAAGAGTCGGACACGACTTAACAACTAAACTACAGAAGGGTTGACAAATTGAGGATGCATACCAAGGCAGCCTCCCTCTGCAATCCACCAGCATATGCTAAGGATTTGAAGAAAGAAGAGTGGATCAATGGTCTACTGTGGTCCAATTTTACTGAAAATAACACTTTGCTTCTGCTTATCTTCAAATCCCAGTGCAAAGTAAAACTACAGTAGGTGAAGCCCTTCATCGCAAAGGGCAATGGAGAAGCAAAGAAGCACTCTTCCTTGCCTGAATTCCTTACTGGCCGGATAGCTAAGTGGCCTAAATCCTGTTGTTTAGTATAGTAAGTTGCACTGGCACAGATCCATTAAATCATTAGGGATTTGGTGCATCAACTCCTCCATAAGTTCCAAAGATTCACATGGGCCTACTCAAGTTGCAGTTAGCATTGGCCTACTTGAATTCAAAATTTGACTTGCTAAATTCGCATTCATGCAATGGATCTACTGAAATATGATTTACTATACTAAGCAACAGGATTTTGGCCAGTGAGGTATCTGGTGCCAAAGACTTAAAGCCAAATTCTCTACTGTGCCTTTCAGGAGAAGAATTAATCAGCGTAACCTTGGGCAAGCTGCAGAGCCCCACAGTACCCCCAGAAGAATGGAATGATAAGCCACTTTTGAGTATCTACTTTAAAAACCCTGTAAAGTATTGCCATAAATCAGAATCAACATTTTGGCATGCAATTGCAAACTGGAGAGGAATTACCCAAGGGAGGATAATTCTCAGAGGTTTAGGCTTCCAAAGTTGTAGACCCAGTAGAATTACTGAGAATGTATCCATTGGCAATCAATCAATCAATCCTGAAAGTGGAGGTAAAATGATATGAACAGAAGACTAAACACCTCACCTGTGAGTACAAAAACATGGGGTCTCTGGGCCCACAAGTTTACAGTCCATGCCAGTTGGTGATCTCCAGCTCACATACAATCGGTTTTGAAGTCGTATTGGTAACACTCTTTTCTTGTATTGTTCGTATTCTTCAGGGGTAAAGAGCTTCCCTCCATCATCTTCACCAACAATTCTGTAAAGAAGTATTCATTCCCATAATACAGTACTTTCTATTACATATTTAATTTAATTTGAAGAGGCACATCACCATTTGGCAATAAACAAAAAAAGGGCTGATAATGCACATAGGATGACAAAGAGAATGAAATGGACACTCTTGGAGCAAAGTCTGAAATCAGAAACATTTGTGTATTTCATCTAAATATGCTCATAATTCTAGTGATATCCTGTAAATTCCTAATTAAGCAGAGGGTTGGGCTTTACGCCCCTTCCAACTCAATTCTATGAATAATCTGAGAATGTAACTTTAGGACTTCTATATCTAAATGGTTAATATCTATCTATCTGTTTGCTTGTTTGTTTATTCGCTTTCAATTCCTTTCAGATTCTCCTGAAAGACACAGGTACAGCGCAATCCTGCACACATCTAGTCAGAGGAAAGTCTCAGTGGAGCCTACTTGTAAATACTGTACATAGCTATAGAACTGCAATATGCAAAATAATTAAATACTGTGACATAAGTAGTCTCCACAACAATATTCTGGCAGAAGACAGACTGAGGACATAACCCTTGCCTATTTTGATTTCATAATGCAAGACTAGTGTTTTAAGTTCTTGCAGTAAAGAATGCTATATAAAGAAATTAATAATGCTCTGTATCTGATGGTGGACTTCATTTATATCTCACCGCTTCATTTATATCTCACCGCTTCTGTAAGAACTGGCAATCCTCCTTCATTCTGAAGACCTCCCCAGTACACTGTAAAAACTTGCTTCAGAACACTGAGGAACATATTCTGAATTCCACACACAGCTACAGTGGGTGGGTGAGAAGAAAATAGAAATCTCAGCCAGTACTTTAAAAAGCAAGTACTGTACAGTAGTCTTTGTATACCGTATTTACAATAGACCCCTGCACTTATAACCTATCAATTCCCAAAAGAGAGTTGTAAAATGAGCAATTGTAACTTTATTTTTCCATTAGGATCAATGGTCAAATATAGGATTAGTTTTTGAATAGTTTTCATGCATTATAAATGAACTTTCTTCATCTTCTCACTTCTTGTCACTCCTGCTTTCTAGGTGTTCCCCTCTGATCTTCCATCCTCTCACTCCTACCTCGCACCTCCTTTCTCAAGCTTGCTTGCAGGGCACTTCTGTTGCCTTCTCACTTTTACCATATGCCTCCGTTCTCCTTGCTTGCTGGGTGCCTTCTGCTATCTTCTCTATTCTCCTACCACCACTTCCTTACTTTCAATGATTGGTGACGTAACTACATCCATCCATTTACAGTGCTAGTCACAGTAGCTAGAAAAGTGAGTTTTGGATGCCAGGAGGGGCCATTAAGTTAAGCAGCAGGAACATTTTAAAAATACAGAATATCAAGGCAACAAATAAGATAAATATAAAAAATAACGATAATACAAATAATCAAACCCACGCTCATGACATTTTGGAAACACAACGCTATTAGCTTGCAGCAAGAAAAAAAACATACACGATCATTTCAAACATGAAAATGCTACTAAGCAAAGTACAGTACGGTTGAAAAAAATATCACTCCACTATGACAGGGAGAATTTAAGGAAGCAACTTTCCTGACATTTAGGTCTAGATACAACTTGCCATGAAAATTGTTTTTCTCCATTGAATTTGTTTCAGGAGTTCTGGCAAAGCCATAGCGACCCGGGAATAATAGGAAAGTTTAACAGATTGCAGGTTACTCTTGCGAACTCAGGCATTTTATGAAGAGCCAAGAAATCCCAGGGTTGCTGATGAGCGAAGGGGGGGGGGGATCTCACACTGCCACGCATCCTCACACAGACTCCAAGACTGGGTTCTAAATATTCCAACGAATTCGGCGCCTACTGGCAAGGCGTCGCAAGGAAGCCGCAGCGCAGTATTTGAGCGGAGCCTTTCGAACCACTTTGTTCAGCCCGCCATTGACGTATGGCGACTTGCCACTAGGCCCCTCCTTGTCATGGTAGCCGGCCGGTAAGGCGGCCTTCCTTCTTCTCCTCACCTCCGGTACTCCAGGTATTCGTCGATGGCGGCGGCAGCCCCCGGCTGCAACGTTAACCGCTCCATGGCCAAAGCAATGGACGCGAGTCACGTCCCCCGCAGCCGGCAGAGACACCTGAACTGCCGGAGGGTTCCTCACGAGAGACACCGTGCGGGCCGGAGGGCCTTGCGGGAGAGGACGAGGTGGCCCGCCTTTCCCTGCGCCGCCGCCAGGAGCTGAGAGGTTGCTAAGGCTCCTTCCCCGCTCGTTGGGGCTCCGCCGTTGCTCGGAAGCGGCGACCTCTGATTTTTAGCGCCAACTTTAGCTCTTGCCGGGGGAGGGGAGAGAAAGGGAAGGGAAGCCCTCGGTGTATGTACTCGTTTCTCGCCAAAGGCTGCAGTTTTGCCCCCCTTTTAACGGTTGTTCTAGTAGTAGCGTGGGCAGTTAACAAATAAGCAGAGCGTTGCTGCCCCACTACATTCGAATGTTGTCTTAAATTTACAGAAGACAAAAGCCGCTGGACTTTCTAGAAAGCTGTCTCAATTCAATATCTGTCTTGCCTACTTATGAATTTGTGGACCCTAATGATCTCTCAGCACCGTCAATGTCAGGCACTCCGCATGACTCAGTAATAATCACCTTATTTACTTTATAATGAAGCCCAAGGAAGCCAGTATCTATTTTGTAAAGTGACACATACAGGGAGAGTGGTTCGACCAAAAAAATACATCTCTGCTCTTCCTGTTCACGAAATAGAAGTGGGTAAGATGAATGTGGCTGCACATTCATCTTCCCTGACGCCCCTTAACACCTTTTTTCCTCTCTTATTGTTCCTCCCACCTTGTGTAATGTCTTACCATTTAATAATTGTTTTATATATTAATTTTATTATATTATGTTGTTAGCCGCCTAGAGTGGTCTTGACCCGACCAGATAGGCGGGATATAAATAAAATTAATAATAATAATAATAAGTAGTAATAAGCGATTAAAATGGAAACCCCAATTTCAGGAATTAAGGTGATCATATATTAGTTTGTAAACTGCAAGTATTGTGCTGTAGAAGTAGACTGGCTAGCATTTTGAGAACATCCAAAATGAAACATATTTGCCAAAATTATTGCAGCCATTCTCAACAGGGGCCGTATGGGTCCTGGACACATTTGAACGGAGCCGCAGACTAGAAACAGTTCTTTAGAGATCACCTTATAAGGTTGTTGTGGGTTTTTCAGGCTCTTTGGCCATGTTCTGAAGGTTGTTCTTCCTAACGTTTCGCCAGTCTCTGTGGCCGGCATCTTCAGAGGACAGTACTTACAAGGTTTATCATGTGATTTATACAATCCTGATACTGTGTTTAGGGCTGTGGCCAAAAAAAGAATTGAGTATGAGTGCCCTTGAGTAGAATCAGTGAGATTTAGTGAGTCAGTTCTGTAAATTCCATTTACTTAAACGGCCTACTCTCATTATGACTTACTAAGCTAAAGTAAGTCACAGTTTAAATAGGCCTGTTTGAACTGAAGAAATATATGGTACTCACCAAATCCCCATTGATTCAATTGTCATACTCTAGTGCAGCCATTCTCAAACTTTTGTTGGCCACCGCCAAAACCACAAAATGAAAGACAAAAGCTGAATCAAGCCTGTATAAGCTATAAGGTAGTGTGTGAAGAATTGTTTCCAGTCTGTGGCCCCCTTCAAATGTGCCAGGGCCCCCCCCAAAAGGCCATATCGCACCCCCCCATTGAGAATGGCTACTCTAGTGTAATTCACTGCACTAACCAATAGTTTTTACTATTAACAGTGTACCGTAACTTTATAAATGTCTATTCAAAATTAGGTCCCACTGAATTTGATGAGATTTGCTTCCAGTTAAGAATGGGTAGGTATGTAGCCTAAACAGCACCTTCTCTATCAAAATACCATTCTGCCTGGATACCACAATCCTATCTTGGTATACTAAGTTGCAGATGATGAAACACACTAAAGGAAATAATTCCATTTACACCCATATATTTGTTCAATGTATGTTTTTATATTGTACTAAGGACACTTTCCCAAGCTATTTTATCAAATTCTAACTACTGTACACTTGTTTGAAAAAAGTGTAGGAAACATACAGTACTGTATATGTACTTATAACACAGTCATACTCATATTTACTCAGAAGCCTCATTGAGTGTACTTCTACATCAGTGCACAGAGAACTTTTGTGGGGCCTGCTCATGTATGTATGTTTTTATATTGACCCTGCTTAAAAGGTACCTTCTGAGAATTAATCTGGCAAACATACACCAGTAGTTGGCAGATAGATCAGGCTGTCTAGGACAGAGCAGAAGAGAATGATGGCACACAATTATTTTTTCTCTTTCAGCCTCTCTTATTGCAAGTAGCACATTTAACAACTGTGGGTCCTGATGATGGCAATTTTAATTGTATTTTAATTGTACTTTAATTGTATTTTAATCATTTTATTGTATTGAATTTTAATTATTGTAAGCCGCCCAGAGACCTCTGGGTAGAGTGGGCGGCATATAAATTAAATAAATAAATAAATAAAATAAATAAATAAATTTATGGGACTGTCCATTTTGAGAAAATTAAGATTAGTCCATCCTAGAACACAGAAATATAAACTACTAATGTATTAATGTTTTACAGGGAAAAGAATCCCATTATCTGAAAAAAAGCAAGTTAGACATATGATATTGCTTTTATCTGCATACACCCAAAGCCTTCTCTAAGTTTCTTTGTAACATGCATATTGGAAAGGTAAGTTGCTTTTTAAAATAGAACAGCAGCTTGTTTCTTTCAGATCAGGAATTACAGTGGTGGCACTTTCAAAGAAAGCTTTGCACATCTTCTTGTACCAATAAAATAGTTGTATGCTGTCAAATCACTTCTGACTTATGGTGACCCTTCTCAGGGTCTTCTAAGGAGGAAGTACGCAGTAACAGTTCACCAGTCCCTTCTGGCTCTTCTACATGGTACACTGTGAAACTGAACTTCTGATCGCTGGCTGGTGCTCCAGCTCAGTGACCTATCCACCCAATAATACATCGATAGCAGAACCACATTATTAATTAAAGACAACAGCAGCAAAAAAAAAGCGTATCAATTTTTATAGGAATCAAATTGTAATCAGTCATTGCCTAATAAACCCCAGCTCCAACCTGTAAGAGCTGTAACACACACAATTCTTATACAGAAAGGTAAAATTATTTGGATCACAATTTTTAGTAAATTCATTACTGTGGCCTCAAATCAATTTCCTCATTGTCATATTAAGGGATGTACTAAGGGCACTTTCCCAAGCTATTGTATCAAATTCTAACTACACTTGTTTGCAAAAAGTGTAGGAAACATACAGTACTGTATATGTACTTATAACACAGTCATACTCATATTTACTCAGAAGCCCAATTGAATGTACTTCTACATCAGTGCACAGAGAACTTTTGTGGGGCCTGCTCATAAATATAAAATCACATTCTTAAGGTTATCTTTATCAAGTCCAAAATTAAATGCGTACAAATAACTAGAGAACAGACCATCACTACCAAAAAAGCTACTGTATTTAAAACTTTTGACAATCATGTGTACACTAATTCAAAAGAACAGGAATCAAAAATTTGATCAGACACATTTCATTTTATTTATTTTCATTCTATCCTGATTCTACATAAATCTGCAGGAATAATCATTTGGGACGAACAGTGTATCTTGCACCACAGACCTTTTTCTTTTTCTTTAAATGAAGTTCTGTTTAAAAGTACACAAAATATTTAAGCAAATGGAAATAACTACTTGGAAACCATTCCATATAGATCAAAAGTCAAGACTGGCACTTTATTTTAGAATTGTATGATACAGAAAGCACACTGTATAATGCTATATTCTGCAATACTCTTGCTGTAAGGCTAACATGGATATAAGGCAGTATTCACCTTTGCTCCCACTTGCTTTCAAGTCCATCATAAGAGCGCTTGGATGCAAATCCACCAGGCACTATCATTCTACATCAATTACTAATTTCAAAAGGCAAGCACACAGCAGCAGGGCCAGATAGTGCCCCTTTAGCACATCTCTTAGTAAACATCAAGGTGTCTTGCTTACCTTCATCTAAGCACAGCCATCCCTCTTGTTTTGTTTAAAAATCAAGAACTTAAGTGTGTCACATTTATCATAGGCTGTATGATAACCTATATTCATAAGCAAGGCAATGAATAAAAAGCCAGCAATGTTCAACTCCTGATAAGTGTGACTTCTATGACTTAGATTTTGTCTTAGTCGCTAAATACATACATCAAAATATTTAGGAACAGCTATATATCATCACAAATTACAGTCTAACTCTGATCATCTAATTGCCTTAGTTCTCTAGCAAGCGTGCTCTTGCTACTTCTAAGTTTTCACAAGTGTAACAGTATTTTTTTAAATACATTCTCTCTCTATTTCACAGATAGTGCAAACAGAAGACATTCTTTGGATCACCATTTTAGGATGTTATCCATGGTATCACCATGATTGTGTAAAAAAAAGTTAATTAGTAAAAGTGATGTGAAAATACTTTGTGTATACATATTTCCCAGCACTCAAGTTAAAGGCATTATCCTTCATTGCTTCACATTAGTAAACCAGATCACAAGATTAAGCAAAACTCTTCCAAGATATTTTAAATTTATATTTAGATATTAATTCTATCTTTTCCATAATTGCCATATAATTTCAAACAATTTACACATTACCTTTCTATACTAGCTTCCTACATTAGTTCCCAGCATATCTTTAAATAAGATACTGTACAGCACTACTATGTGAAAGAGCTATAACACACAGTTTTTTAGAGCTTTATAATTTTTTTAGGTAGGACTCTTATGTGTTTAGCATCACCTACTGCAACAGGATACAGATCTTCTTGAGCCAACTGCTGCTTTTCTATATTAAAACTGAGCTAGATCTTTAGCAGATACAGCTGTGTAAAGCTATTTTGAATGCTATCTTATGTTGCTTGCTGCATTTACCCGTTTGCTTGTAGTTGCTGGCATCAAGTTTCCATTTGTAGTATTTGTTGTTGAACCATTTACACCCATGTAATCAACCTTGTTTTCCAGTTTGACCAAGCGTTGCAAAATGTGATCAAGAAGAACTGCAATTGTCCTTTTGAGATCAGCTAGAAAAAAGACAGAAAGGAATCTTGTCTATTTTGCACTCTATGAAAGAATAATTAAACAGGATATATATGCATACTGAGATGAGAATGATACACAGTGCAGAACAGCCCCAATAACACTGTGTCTTAACATAGGCAATTACTGTTCTTTTGCTATAGAAATGTAGCTTTCTTCCAGATAAATTGTTGTCTGATTGATCCAAGAGACTGGTGGCCAAGGTGGATTTGATTTAAATCATTATTTAAATTTCTTTAAAAACAGATTTTTTTAAATAAATATTTTACATTTTTTGTACTTTTCTATCTGTTGCAACCAGAGTGATAATTTTTTTAAATAAATATTTTACATTTTTCTACTTTTCTATCTGTTGCAACCAGAGTGATTTATTACAATATATTCCATTCATTTCATCTTGTCTCATACTCTCTAACATAATATTAATTTATTCTATCTATTCTACTTAAATTGGTGTAGATTTTATCCAGGTATAAAGAGGTCCCCATTTATTATTATCCAGTCTATCATTTAGTGTGTCTGTCAAAATAGCCATTTCCGCTAGTTCCAAAATCTTCTCAATAAATTCCTTCTTTATTGACACCTTTGTAGTCTTCCACTTACTGGCATATACAATTCTAGCTGCAATTATCAGGTATAAGGTCAAGTAAGTCTTGTTTTTTTCGAGTGTAGCTGGCAATATACAGTGGTGCCTCGACTTACGCCCATAATCTGTTCCAGAAGATGGACGTAACTCAAAACGGTCATAAGCTGAAGCACCGTTTCCCATATGAATGCACTGAAATGCAATTAATTTGTTCCGGCCAAAGAAAAAAAATCACCTCCTAGCAAAAAATCACTGCAAGCCTCATTGGAAACACGATTAATCCCTTCTGGACGAAGGGGGTGGGGGAGAAAAGCAATCAAGCGTGCAAGACCAATCAGAAATGCACAGAAAACAAACGGAGCAGATCGGATATGCATAGAGAACAAAGGGTCCAGGTCGGAAATGCACAGAAAACAAACAACAGATCAGAAATGCACAGAAAACAAAGGGAACAGGTCGGAAGTGCTAAGAGAACAAAGGAAAAAGCAAGGGAAGCTTGCAAGACCATCAGAAATGGGGGGAACACCCCAAAAAGCAACCAAACCCCCAATTCCCCATTCCTGAGCTACAGTTTGGTTAAAGCCATTAAAAGCCTGAATAAAAGCAGGGTTGCAAATAATTTCATAAACAAGAATTCTGTGTAATCTGTTTAATAACATGATTTATCAAGTGCAGTAAAACATATTTT